GGTAGATCCCAAATTTGAACCAGGGTTTAATTGAAAGAGCTCAAACCAAAGAGCAAGCCTGGAATGAACCCCTAAACCAGGATCTAGGTAATTTTAAGAAACCTGAGAGCTCCAGCCAGAGAAAACCATAGATAAATGGGGAAATTGCCTTTTCCTTAGACTAGAATAACTGCACAAGGCGACTGAAGTTTTAGATTCCAGAGAAGTGCAGAAGTACCAAGGATCAAGAGGGTTTCTTCAAACACCGTTTGGTCAAGACAAAGGATGCTAATGACTAGGTGAGCAAGCAGGATCTTCCGAGAAAACCTGCTCTGGGCACACATGGAAATCACTTGGGAAACCACACAGAGTACAATGTCCAGGCCCTGACTGCCATACTGTGAAAGCAAGTGGATTTATCTGAACGAGCACACGGCCACAGAGGTCCTTTCCAAGGCAAAATTTACAGGTGTGTGTTATAATAAATGTATGAGTCTGAGAGAAAAGAAGCATGGAAGACACACAAACACGGATCTGGTATTTAGCCCTGACCATGGAGGTGATCATTTGTCAAGGCAGCTGGATCTAGCTTTTAAAAATGGAAAAATGAAAAGGAATGCCACTGTGAATTCAGATCCTGCTATTTCAGGAAGAGTTGAGAAAATAGGTTGTTTCTACTGCAACCTGGGCAGTCCCAGCTAGGCTTAAGTCTTCAGGGGTATCTTCCTGATCACAGCAACCAATGATTCTTAAACTGGGTTGGATATAAAGGACTGTACTGAAGTAAGTGATTGATGAAACCAAAAATTTTAAGATGAGTATGTGTGTGCATGCTAAGTTGCTTCACTTGTGTCCCAACTCTTAGTAACCCTATGGACTATAGCCCTCCAGGCTCCTCTCTCCATGGGATTCTCCAGGCAAAAATACTAAAGTGGGTTGCCATGTCATCCAGGGGATCTTCCCAACACAGGAATCAAACCTACTTCTCATGTCTCCTGCATTGGCAGGCAGGTTCTTCATCACTAGCATTGCCTGGGAAGCCCAACAAAAACCAATTCACGCAAAGACCCAAGACTCAGAATCACATTGACCTATGCCATCAAGTTACACACCATTAACAAGACTCTTGGTTACCAACATCCTGCAACCTCAGCTGGTCTAAGATGGTGTCTTTTTTAGTCTAATATACTGACTGTCCAGAAGGATATAAAAAACAGGCAACCTCAGGAGAAACAGAAGTAATAAATATAGGAGGCTGAAATAGTAACACTCATCCTTTTTGTATGTAAATATTTTTATTGTATCATAACATTGTAGGTAGGGTTCTCTATCATAATGCATTTAAGACATTCAAGAAAATCTGATATACTGAGCTTGCAATTTTAAATGTTCAGAAGTATTTGATTAAATAAGCAGTACTTAAATGTTCAGGGAAATTTAATTTCATACACTTAGACTGTCCAGTTACATAAGCAGTCTGTGAGTATCTAGAAAAATGCTATTTAATTTTAAAAGGAATTTAATTAAAAATGATCATTAGGAACACATAAGGAATTCCCAGGCAAAGAGAAGGAGTAGATATCAGTGGATCTATAGAAGTTAAAAAATTGATGGAAAAATGATGTGACTTCGAGCTGATATAATTACAACCTAAGAACGTAAAGAAGGAATAAAGAAGCAAGGTACTCAGTCCCCTAGACCTCCACCCCCAAGACTTAACATTTGGACTCGCTGGATGCTGGGGGTCTAGGGTTTCAGGTAAGGCCAGGTGTGGGAATGGAAACGAGGGCGAAATTACCTGAAGGATTACTGACATTGGACTCCCAGTTCTTATCCCCTTTTCCCAGACCACCAGGTGAGTTGCCTACTGGTTAACTCTGTGGAAAATGAGTAGGAATGAGTGTCAGCCTGGGACACCAGGAAGAGAAGAGAGCTAGGGTAGAGACGGACTGAAAACAGAAAGCCTACATTCCAAACTCTGGGATCCTCGGTTCCTTACAACCTTACGGAGTGCCAACTGCCAGGCATTGTGTCTGCTTCATCTGGCCCTATTCCTATTCTCAGCCCCATATTTTCTAGGGCAACAGACAGGAGAATCCTTTTGAGGAAAAACTGAGCAAAGACCTCTAGATTCTGCCATTTGTGGAGTGCCCCCAGTGAAAAGGCTGGCTCGGGTCACCTTATAATGAAACTCACCAGTCATTATGCCCCATCTTAATTCCAATAAACTGGTAAGTACAGTGCCTTGAAATATTAAAGACAAACAAGAACCATTAGACAGCCAAGGAAGACTTCAGTGGGAGGACTGCAAAAACCAGAAAGCACCTAAGGGGAACTTGAGATGAAATCTTGTCTCCACAAAAGAAGAAAGCTATTTGTTAAAAAAAGGACTAATTAGAAAAAAAAAAAAATCTTGAAAATCGGACTTCCCTGGTGGCGCAGTGGTTAAGAATCTGCCTGCCAGTGCAGGGAACTCAGGTTCAATCCCTGCTCTGCAAAGATTCCACACGCTGCAGAGCAACCAAGCCTGTGCACCACAACTGCTGAAGCCCGCGCGCTTTAGGGCCCGGGGGCCGCAGCTAAGGGGCCCCATGCGCTGCAACTGCTGAAGCCCGCGCGCTTTAGGGCCCGGGGGCCTCAGCTAAGGGGCCCCATGCGCTGCAACTGCTGAAGCCCGCGCACNTCACTTCAGTTGTTCCGACTGTGTGACTCCAGGGATATACCAGGCCCCTCTGTCCGTGGGATTCTCCAGGCAAGAATACTGGAGTGGGTTGCCATCTCCTTCTCCAATTTTAAGACTACTCAAAGAGTAAATTTTAAAAGTTTGCAGAGATCAAAAAAAGCATGTCAAAAGTACTGATTATAAGAACGTCATCAGATTTCTCAGGGGCAGCACCAGCTGCCAGAATAGAATGAAGTCAGATCTTCAAATTATGGAGGGGGGCTATTTTTAATGTGGAGTTCTAGCCTCAAGTGAGTTATAAAACAATGACATCTTCAGATACTCAAGGATTCTAAAAATTTAGCTCCCATTTACCCTTTGTCAGGAAGCCACTAGATGATTACTTTTGCATTTTGAGAGTTAATAAAAAGGAAGCCAAATTTCAGGAAGTAAGTACCCCAAGAGGAGGGGGGGCGGGGTCGGTAATTCTAGCATAACTGCCAGGGATTACAGCTACACAACAGCCTGGAGAGCAACCAGTCCAGACTGGAGCAGGAGAGTGGCTGCAAGTAACAGAATACTCAACTCTAAGTGACTTGAACACTAGAGGTCTGTTACCTCACATAACCAGAAGTGCCCAGGAGAAGGCAATGGCACCCCACTCCAGTACTCCTGCCTGGAAAATCCCATGGGCGGAGGAGCCTGGTGGGTTGCAGTCCATGGGGTCTCAAAGAGTTGGACATGACTGAGCGACTTTACTTCCACTTTTCACTTTCATGCATTGGAGGAAACGGCAACCCACTCCAGTGTTCTTGCCTGGAGAATCCCAGGGACGGGGGAGCCTGGTGGGCTGCCGTCTATGGGGTTGCACAGAGTCAGCCATGACTGAAGCGACTTAGCAGCAGCAGCAGAAGTGCCCACTCTAGGTTGGTTCATTCAACCCTTGATGTTAGGGTTCTGAATCGGCTTTGCTGGAATCAACGCCCCTTCCCTTTATGTGAAGATTGCAGATGTAGCTGCAAACTTCACGTCCTCATGTAACCAGGCAAAAACTAAGGAAGAAGTTTCTCTTCGAAGTTTCTTTCCACAGAGACAAAAACCTTATCTGGTAGGTCTTACCCATCTTCCCTTCAGATTCCACTGACCAGATGCCACTCCAAGAAAAGTTTCTAGAGGTGGTGGGGTTTTTCCCCTTTATGATATGCAAAGTATAGATGCCCCCCATTTTTACTTTTCACTGGTGTGTGCATGTGTGCTAAGTCACTTCAGTCGTGTCTGACTCTTTGGGACCCGGTGAGACGTATGTAGTCTCCCAGGCTCCTCTGTCTGTGGGGATTCTCCAAGCAAGAATACTGGAGTGGGCTGCTGTTCTCTGCTCCAGGGGAACTTTTGGACCCAGGGATCGAACCCGGGTCTCTTTACGTCTCCTGCAATGGTAGGTGGGTTCTTCACCACTAGCGCCACCTTGACGCCACAGGTCACAGCCTTCAGAGCAAACACAAGAGCATAAATATTGGAGCCAGATTGCCTGGGTTTTTTCTCTATTGCTTCTAAGACTCGCATTCTAATGATACTTGGGGAACCTCATGGGTCAAAGGGATGGCTAAATCAAGGCAATATTTGGGTATTCCTGGGTTCCCTCACTAAAATACAATCTACCTACTATCATAATACCAGCCAGTTATGTCCAACTACTAAGTTAGATTCTGAACCTAAGAACTGACTTACGGCATTTGTAAGAATAGTAGTAAAGTACGGGTTCTTATTTCCATAAACAGAGTAGTACTGTACCAGGAAAAAAACTACCTAGGTCTTATCTTTGTCACTTAAAAAAAAAACAACAAAAAATACTTTTCTCATTTAAAAGGTACACGATTTAAAAAAAAAAAATCTGGCGTGCAGGATCTTAGTTCCTTGACCAGAGATTGAACCCAAGCTCCCTGCAGTGAAAGCTGGCCATCTTAACTACTGGACCGCCAAGAAAGTCCCAAAAGGTACATAATTATATAAAAACTACTTGTGCCCTGGGAAGACACCTCATTTGTAAGCGGAAACTTACTTTACCTGTGTGAAGGCACAAACCAAGCTCCATGTGAGTGGACTGTATGAATCCTTGACTACAGTATACCTACCACATGGCAGAGAGCAGCCACTCACAACTGCAAACACGCATTCACAGAGGGACCTAACCCGTGGAGTCCTTGGCTGAGCTGAGGAACAAAGGACGATTAATGCAGAAGAGTTACTGGGCAGGGAATGAAGGAAGGGAAGGGGATTAACACTGATTAAAGGAAGACTGAATTTTGCCCAGATTTGTTTTGGTTAAAGTATTCTGAGACATTTCAATAACCAAAATAACTGTACAAAAAATAAACAAATTAACTTTATTAAGTTACCACTTCAGTCCTTATGTTGATTTGTTTACAAAAATATCAGTTTGAAATACATTATCGAAAGTGAACACACAGAATAAATAGAAAATAAGGATGCATGGTGCTGCAGACACATCAACCAACTTATCTTGATCTGTTGCCCACTGCTGTAGACAAAATTTGACACAGATTCAGCATTACTGACACAGCAAAGTATCAGGGAGAGGGTTGCAAACTATGAGAAAAGTAGTTTAAAACTCTGGACCAAAAAAAAACTCTCTGGACCACTCACCAAAAAATAAAAATAAAAAATAATTGTTTATCTGAAAGCTAACCTTAGTATAATACTGAATTATCTACTGCTATCCATAGGAACAATTTAAAAATAAGAAAAGTGCCAGGGAACCTTCATTAACAGTATTTTTAAGTCAAAGGTTTTACTTTAAATATCTGATGATTACTCAAATATCCTGAGCCACGAGGCAGGCCCTAACAATAAGTTATAAACAGTCTGAAATTAATAACTTAAAGGTGATATAGTTAATATAGTACACACTGCAGGAGTATCTCAACCAACCCCTCAGGTGAGGCAATAATTAAAAGGTTTACATTTACAGTTCCAATTTCCACTCAGAAGAGTGCTATCAGTATTCCAGCAACAGTGATGACATCCTATTATCGTAAATATGCTAATATACATACTACTCTGAATTATACTTGACTGAATTCTATGTACATATGGTTCCATATTCCAAGTGCAAATTTTCAACGGTATGGGTTTATAATCAAAGCTGGGTTTGACAAATGCTTTCTGACGTCTGAAAGCAAATGATGAAAGCACTTCCTAAAAGTGAATAAACTAGATAGGAGTAGGTGACCATTTCCTTTTTTCTTTATGTGTGATGAACTTCATGAAGCATCAATTCCCGAGGTATGTTTGTTTCTGGACCATACAGCTTACACGCTCTTCTTTCAAAGGCAGTCACCATCTGCTTTACAACTTCATCGAAAAACAATGTGGCAAGCTGAGAGTGTAGAAGTGAGCGAAATTCAAAAGAAATCTGTAGGAAAATGTTAATAACTATTTTAGAAAGACCTTTCTTTTACTAAATCTCTACTTAGGGTAATGGTGTTTGCACAGTGAAATGGGCTCACTGGCCCAATACCTAAGGCAGAGCAATATGGGCCTATATCTAGATGAGACTTTTAACATCGCTAAGAGGGAGACTATTTACTGCAGTAAGCACAACAGTGGCTGCACAACAAACTTAAGTAAAACAAAGTCAATGAATCTCATTTTATGGCAAAGAGTTTGATTGTATTAAGTTAAAAAAAACTGGAAAAAAAGCTTTGCTAAATGAATATATTTATCACTTTGGCTACTTATTAGTGTGTCCCTTTAAGAGCCACCTTCCTTCCCAAAAAGAAATGGTAGCTCAGCTGGTAAAGAATCCACCTGCAATGAAGGAGACCTGGATTCGATCCCTAGGTTGGGAAGATCCCCTGGAAAAGGGAACAGCTACCTACTCTAGTGTTCCTGCCTGAAGAATTCCATGGACAGAGGAGCCTGGCAGGCTACAGTTCATGGGGTCACAAAGAGTCAGGCACGACTTCCCAAAAGGAAGTAAGGAAGGGAAGTGATCCCTCTGATAGGTTATTCCCACAAGTTAATATCAGAAAGGTAAGGTTAAGCTACAAACTAGATGGCAAAGGTGCTTCAATCTTAAAGTAGACAAGGATTTAAATTTCATTTATATCCCCTTAAGACTGAATTCAAAGCAATCAGTTTGAGAAATAATGCCTTAAGGATGAAATATCCACCAACTTTTGAAAGTTTTAATTTTAAAATAATTTGGCTTATTAAAAAGTTGCACTACTACTACTAAGATCTCTCATATACCCGCCATTCAGATATCAGGTTTTATATAACCACAGTGCAATTAAAACCAGGAGATTAACAGAGTTAATATTACTAGATAATAATGCTATTATCTAATCTATAGAGGTTTCATTCAAATTTCCCCAAGTGTTCCATTATTGTCCACTAATTTTTATGAAAAAAATATGAAAATGAAAGCAACCTAAGAGCTGAGACCAGCATACAGTAATTAACTCAAAATTATAACCATATTTTAAAATGTAAGCCTGAGTTGCAAATACAGGAACCAACTCATATAAATAAAAAGTCAGACAAGTGACTTTAAGTTTTCTATAGCTAAGGTGATATGAACGAGAAAATACCAATACCATAGTGCTTAAATTTAAAAATATATTTTTCCTTTGCATTTTATTTCTGCAACTCATAAGATAAAGATCAATGTACAGTTTCATTTGGTGCTACACTGTTATTAAGCTGGTAGTAGGCAAGACATGTGTCTTATAATCTATGGACTTGTAAAAACTAGAAAATAGAGAAGGCATTCAAAGTTTCAGGAAAGAGAGAAAAAGAGAAAAGGTCATTAGCATTCTTTCCTTTTTTTTGGCTGTGCCAGGCGGCCTGAGGGATCTTAGCCCCCAGCCAGGGATTGAACCAGTTTCCCCTGCAGTGGAAGTGCAGAGTCCTAACCACTGGACTGCCAGGGAATTTCCCCTAGCATTCTGTCTTATAAAATTAGTGCCAAAAAAAAAAAAAAAGTCAGTGCAGAAAGAGATATTCAATACTCAGAAATCTGAGATTAAAAAAAGTCTTATAGTAATTGCTATGCATAAACGTGTGTGTGTGTGTGTGTGTGTGCGCGCGCGCGCGCGCTCAGTCGCTCAGTTGTGTCCAACTCTTTCCATCCCCATGGACTGGGGCCCACCAGGCTCCTCTGTCAAGGGATTTTCCAGTCAAGAATACTGGAGTGAATTGCCATTTCCTACCCCAGGGGATCTTCCTGACCCAGAGAGTGAACTGAATCTCCAGCGTCTCCTGCATTGGCAGGCGGATTCTTTACCACTGAGCCACCTGGGAAGCCTAATTGCTATGCATGCAGTTTACTAATTATAGCATGTGGGTTCTAATAAAAAATAAACTACTCCTTCTTTACCAACTTTATCTGATATTTGGAACAAATAGAGAGCTTTATGCGAGACTTACTGAAAAATCCAAAGTACAAGTTCTTGGGTAGCCGGGAAGACCTGGGCTAAAACGCCAAGCAGTCTCCAAATGTTTGAAGAGCTTCCCATCAGTACAGGATGCCTAGAACAAAATGAAACAAAACCAAACCAAACAAAAAACAGTAAAGTACCAGCTGGATTGTCCAGAATCTACAATTGAGGATGCTTTAGTTGAAAGTAGGTATTTTTATAGATTAGACCACAGGTGACAAAAAGATCTCTTTAGCTCGGTACTAGGAAGAGATCTCTTGCTGACATAAGCCATTTTCCTTCCTCCTGGGATTCCCAAGATTACTGCCAGTTCTCTCTTCCACTGTCGCCCACTGCTACTTCAGAGTTCTCCCCCCATAACAAAATAGGGAGTTACCATCTGGAAGTTTACTTCCAGCTCTGCCACTTATTAGTGATCCTGAACAAGTTAATTCCCTGTAATGTATTTCCTTAACCTTTAAAATGAGCATAATGCCTATTTTTTACCATCATTATGAGACAGCTAAATTTAATACTTGTAAGGAATCTGGCATAGATCCCTAGAACAATTCTGTAACTCTTGCCTGCCCAAAGATCTTCCTTATCAATCACATTTAGTCTTTCTCTAACTCACTAGTCTTTACCTCTGGGGGCCTCTATGGTTCCAGTTTTCTTATAAGTCTAGTCCTGACTCATTGCTTTCTGACCTCTCATCTCTTCAGTGCTGGTTATTTCACAGATGTGTGTACACTGAAACATAATACACAGTGATACTATGTGCAGTGCAATCTGACACGTCCCATTCTCTATCATTAAAAAATGCCGGTTGAGACCCATACAAGAGTTGCCTTCCACAGTGTGAAAAAAGGTGGCCAGGACCACAGTTACTAAAACACTTTCAGAACTGGTTATGACCTTGAATGAAGTTCAACTTCTTTATTTACTATCCTAAGATGCCATCTGGGCCTTATTATACTAGTAGACAACTGACCTCAAGAATATATATGCTATGTTCCCTCAAAAGCAGGCTATTTTTTAACTCGTTTCAAAGTCTTGGGCTTCCAGGTGGCTCAGCTGGTAACGAACCCGCCTGCAATGAGAGACACCTGAGTTCGATCCCTGCGTGGGGAAGAACCCCTGGAGAAGGCAAAGGCCACCCACTCCAGTATTCTGGCCTGGAGAATTCCATGGACTGTATAGTCCATGGGGTAGGTTATGACCTTGAATGAAGTTCAACTTCTTTATTTACTATCCTAAGATGCCATCTGGGCCTTATTATACTAGTAGACAATTGACCTCAAGAATATATATGCTATGTTCCCTCAAAAGCAGGCTATTTTTTAACTCGTTTCAAAGTCTTGGGCTTCCAGGTGGCTCAGCTGGTAATGAACCCGCCTGCAATGAGAGAGACCTGAGTTCAATCCCTGCGTGGGGAAGAACCCCTGGAGAAGGCAAAGGCCACCCACTCCAGTATTCTGGCCTGGAGAATTCCATGGACTGTATAGTCCATGGGGTTGCAAAGAGCCAGACACGACTGAGTGACTTTCACTTTCACCACTGTAGAATCATTATAAACTGCACCCATACTAAAAAGCACTTAAAAAGAAATGCTCTATTCACATTATAAAGTTTTTTTTTAACTTTTAATATGGAAACCAGTGAAAATTTAAAACTTATTTAGACATGAAAAGTAACAGTCATTAAAGTAAAAAAATCTCTTCAAGGCTTCTTGCCTTCTGAGATGATGGCCCACATTCTGCGAAGTTTCTTCTAAATAAATCCAGTTCTTATTAAAAAAAAATTTTTTTTCCCCAAAGCATTTGGCTTTATTTGGTTCAATAATGAACATCTAATTTTTAAAACCATCAAAAATCTATAATAAAATATTATTTCAGTTATCCAACTTTACTTTTTTTTTTTTTGGCTGTGCCTTGTGGCTTGTAGGATCTTTTGTCCCCCTATCAGGGATCAAACCTGTGCTCCCTGCAGTGGAAAAGTGGGGTTTCAACACTGGGCCACCAGGGACGACCCCCTCTTTTGTTTTTAACTGGAGGATAATTGCTTTACAATCATGTGTTGCTTCTGCCATACAACAATGTGAATGAGCCATAAGTACACATACTTCCTCTCCCTCTGAACTTCCCTCCAATTCCCCACCCCCCTAGGTGGTCACAGAGTGCTACAGTGAGCTCCCCAAAATACGGAATGGTTCGTGAATTTGCATTTATCCTTGTGCAGGGATCTTCTTTATATTGTTTCAAATTCAGTATATGTGCTGCTGAAGCAAGCACTCCATTTACTTTTATTTCTAACTTTTTACAACTTTTTCAGTTACCCAACTTTAAGGTAAAGCATTCCATCCTTCTTTACAATCATGTATGAAGCTTATAAGAAATCTAACAGTAAGGGAGAAGCAGCTGTTGGGAATAATCACTACAATATAGCACCTTCCTCTGACTATTTTTTAACAAAATGTGGCAGTGCTGTACTTGTATCAATAACCTAGCCCAAGGATCCACAGATTTTTACTGGCATGTTTTGATAGGGACAATACTGCCAATGAGCTCATTCCTAACAGAGATACTGAACACAGCAAGTAGGCTTCTGGCCACTACAGACTGATGAATCTACATGATGCATGTAGAATCCCTGACATGTTAAGTCACAGGCACATTTGGGACAGCTAATAAAAAATGTCACATAGCTTTCGTTGCTTTCTTGGTTCTAATTTTTATTATATGTCACATATGTGTATTAGGTACTAATATCTAGAACCTGAGCCCAGGGAAAATTAAAAGCTGAACATAGCTGTGTTTTATTCTCAAATATGTCTTTAAATATTAGCACATTAAGTGAGGCAGCTTATTTTAATGGAAAAATAATCTGGGAATCAGACATACACAGTATGAATTTGTGTGTACCTTGGGTCTCCGGCTCCTGAACAACCCTCAAATGCTGCCTAACCTTTAGGTCTTGCTAACATGCTAAGTTGCTTCAGTCATGTCCAACTCTTTGCAACCTCACGGACTGTGGCCTGCAGGCTCCTCTGTCCATGGGATTCTCTAGGCAAAAATAATGGAGATGGTTGCCATTTCCTCCTCCAGGGGATCTTCCTGACCTAGGAATTGAACCCGTCTCTTATGTCTCCTGTATTGGCAAGTGGGTTCTTTACCACTAGTGCCACCTGGGAAGCCCTTTAATAATAAATTAGCACATTAAGTGAGGCAGTTTATTTTAATGGAAAAATAATTTTGGAATCAGACACACACAGTATAAATTTGTGTGGGCTCTTAAGTTCTCTAAGCCTCCTAAAATTAAGATAGTAATATATAATACATACTATTATAATTAAAAAAAAAGTTTCCTGCCTCCTTGGCAGTGCTGAAGGTTACTGAAATTACTATGAACATCTGGATATACAGGAACACAGGAACACAGCAGTGAGAACTTCATAAACAAAAGCCCTCATGACTGAGGATTCAGAGATGAAAAAGAAGATCTCCCATTCCCTTAAGTAGCTCGATTCTGTCAAGCAGAAATCCAAAGGAAGAAAGAAGTCATACAAAAGAGTGGTAAGAGAAATAAATCAAGCACATGCAAAGCCTAGAGCAATCACCGAGGTACAGCAGACTAGCCGTATGAAAGGAAAGGACGAAAAAGCAGGCTGGGATCTGAAGGATTGAGAGGCAAGGAATCAAGTTCACTACAGATAGAAGAGGGAACAACATGCAAAGGCACAGGGCTGTGGGATAAGTACCCTACGGTACACTCGTGGAAGTCAGGGAAGGAAGAAAGCCAGGGGGAGAAAACGATAAGGTTTTAGAGTTCTTTAGTTAGATGCAGGATATGTTAAGATCAAAATTATAAGAATCTGAATGGTAAGAGATTGAGGTCAGGGGACTCAATTTTAAGATTTATAGAGATAGTCACTGTTGTCAGACAGACTACAGAGTCTTGGCTGTGTAACCCTAGGCAAGCTATCTAACTCTTTGAAGTCTTAGCATACTCAACCATACGATGATGGAGGATAATAAAATCTGCATCTCAAAGGGCTGTTGTGAAGATTAAACAATTCAAGTAAAGAAAGCACTATAGAGCTTAATGCATTAGCTACTATAAGAGAGGCAGTGCACTATAGTAAGTAAAAACTTCAAAACTATGAGGCAAACAGGTGAAAACAGTTATAATAATAGTAAAGTCTCAGAATGCGGCACAGACTTTTAAGTGGAGTTGATGTTTTGACAGTGGGACTAGGGTGGACTCCCATGTCTTAGCTTCACTGGACAGTATATTCTTTCTGGTATGAGAGCTGCATGTCCTCAGTGACTGACAAGGAGGTGAAAAAGGCACTTAGCTCTGGCCAATAACCAAGAAATGATACCACTACTAAATCAAGTGGGCACAAAACCACACAATCCAAGCTTTGAAAGCCTTTGTTCACCGCACTCTAGGAAGTCAAAATAAATGGTAATGTAACTCTGGAATTCTCTTTTTTCATGTGTTGAAGTCCGAGTACCTTTTCTGTATGTGTACCCTTCTCTGAGAAGGGTAAGATGATTAATATAATGCATGCAACAGTACCTGGCATTTCAGTACCTGGTACATGGCAGGATGACTTCAACAATGTTTATATGCTCCACATTTATATCTTTTCTATCTTTCTTCATCCTCTCACCACTTTCCCTGCCTTAACTTAAAAAAAAAACACAAGTATCAATATTAAATTAAAACATTTCTCACTTGTGTGGCTGAATCTTTCCTAGAGGTCAGTAGTTCTCAACAGAAGGACAAAAGAAAAAGCTTCTCATTTCCATGTTCTAGTTAAATTTCTATTTGGAAAGAATTATGCTAATATTGTATAAAATAACACAACTTAAGTGATATAACAGTTTTTTTTTCCTTCCTATTAGTTCAGGGAAATCTTCTTAAACTATTATACATTAATCCATTTAATATATCACTAGTTGAAGAATATTTAAGAACAACAAAAAACAAAACCGTTACCTTCACTAAATGAGGTTTCACCAATGTCACTACTGATGTGTAGCGCTCCAGCACAGGTGGAAACCCAATTTCCAATCGCGCTTTGCAGTATCCAGATCTCCTTGATATTATATCTGATTTTTTACACCAAGGAACAAAATGCTTGTAATCCTCCACTCCAGATACTACATCATACATTTCCTGCATAGAATAACTTAAAAAAAAAGGAAAGGTGTTAACTGCACCTATTTAGACAGTGCATACACACTTTAAACCAGCAGTCCCCAACCTTCTTGGCACCAGGGGCTAGTTTTGTGAAAGACAATTTTTCCATGGAATGGGGAAGAGAGGATGGTTTCAGGACGATTCAAGTACACAACATTTACTGGATACTTTATTGCTATTATTATTACATCAGTTCCACCTCAAATCATCAGGTATTAGACCCCAGAGGTTGGGGACCCCTGCTTTAAACTGAATAAATAATAAAATTTACTGTGTACGAGGCAATAAGTCATCTGGCACACACATTAATACTGCTTTATAATAAATGGCTGATGAACTATGGTACATTCATACTGTGGAATTAATCAGTTATCTAAAAGGATGAAGATCAAATGTACAGTTCACCCTTGAACGACACAGCTTTGCCCTGTGTGAGTCTACTTACATAAGAATTTCTTTGAAAATATAGTATCTGTATTTTTGTTTTACAGATTTTTAAATTAAATGTGGGGGAAAGTTTGTGTTCAATTAGAAGTCACAATATGTGGAATCAAATAAACTAAGGTTTGAGTCTTGATTTTATACAAACTGTTTCAGCTTCCTGCCTTTGGATAAATCATTTATCAATTCCTTGTTTTGAAACAGA